AGTATCTTGCTTTTCCCGGAGCATCAAAAGATGAAGTCTGGCTGAAGTGTCAGGGCTTTGGTGCTCCCAGTAACCACTTACATAGAGTCTTGCTTACAAGTTCAAGGTTAAATTAATCATCAGAGTTTAGATCAGCAACGCATTTTCTCTTGGGTCGGGTCAGCAGGAATCTCAGGGTGAGTGTGCAGCTCTGCTGGTGATGGAGCAGCAGAGTCCAGACCTTGCGATACCCATGAGATTCATCTGTCTGAAGTCAGCACTGACTTTCCATGTAGTGGGAGAGGAGGCAGCAGGAGGAGAAGGTGGGAACTGAGCTGTGGAGGTTCCCAGCTGTGCACCCGCAGGGAAGGCACCTGCAGCTCCTCAGCCTCTGTTGTTTTAGTCCAAGCTGGGAATGGGTTTACTGCTTGCTGCTGCTCCTGTTCAACTTGAGCAAATGGCTCCCTTGGACCTGCCCTTCTTGTCCTGGTAGAAGACAGACAGAAACCAAATTTCCCTTCTGTAGGGAATTCTGAAAATAGCTTTGTCTGCTTCAGAGAAAAAAACATAAATGCTGTTACGACGTGACTGTGCTGACCCTGCCAAGCCATGGGTATGCAGAGTTTCACCAGTCCTCTGCACAGGCCAGGCTGGCTGGGTGCATCCCTAATATGACCCTATTGCCCAGCTCTGTGCTGCTCAAGAGTGTCTGTCTGGATCAGGCTGAAGATTTTCCTTCCACGACATGCTCCTGGATGTTCACCGACGATGGAGCCTGAGCACTGCAGTCCTTAGGCCAATAGCATCTCTGCCAGAAACCAGCTCCCCTGTGGGTGGGGAACATCTCCTCTCAGCTGGCTGAGGCTCTGTCTCCCTGCACTGTGCTGCTTCCCCTCACTCCCCTTTCCCTGGATGCTCTGGTTGATGTGGGGGGAAAGCTCTTCACACCTGGACCTCTGGATCGAGCTCCCATTTGTATTATCTTTGCTGCTCATAGCAGCAGAGCAGAGGAGCAAAGTGGCTTGGACTTGCAGTGGGATCACATCACCGTCAGCATTGACAGTGTATTGCTGAGGCCAAAAGATATATCCATGCCCCTATCTAACATATGTCAAAGCTGCATCAGTGTGGTGACCCCCTGGTCTGCATCCCTCCGGGCAGCCCAGGAGGTCTGAGCTTCTCAGCTAAGAGCGTGCAAAAGGCTGAGCATGGAGGCTGCTGAGGTGAAAGCCCCCCTTTGATGGGAGCTGGGGGCTGCTGGGAGGAAGGTGTGCAGGGCTGTGGTTGTTGTGGCTAGCGCCTGGCCAGGACGGTGTAAGTTTAGCTGAGAGCAGAATTTCCTCTCCCTGCCCTCATCCCCATCTCTGATCTGTGCTGATCTTTCCTTGCTCACCCTCATGTCATTTTTCCTCCTTGCTTGTTGCGTTTGCAGCTGCCTCTACCCACCATGCTGAGCTCAGTGTGGTTAATCTCTGCCTGTTGCTGCTGCCAGCTCCTGAGCGTTGGGTGTTTTTCTTAAATGGGTGTATCAGTTCCAGCTCTGATGACTGTGTGATAGCACAGCCCTGTGTCTGCCTTCAATTAGCATTGTTGGTAAAGCACAACTCCTAGTTCTTTGTTCCCTGGGCCGGCAGTGTGGAGCACAGTGCTGGGGCTCACCCCCACCTGCCCTCATAAGGCTGATGTGCCGCTCTCAGGGAGCGTTTCTGCACTCCAGCCAGCTGCCCACGGGTGAATTTTGCCTTCTGTGAGTTTACATATAAAAACATTAGATAATTTATTTTCCTTCTTTTTCTTAGAGCCCATCTTCAGCACTGTGGGCTAGAAATCCCCTTTAGCAAAGGGAAACGTAAGACTCCATTGCTGCTAGTGCACAGCCACAGCTCCTACCCACATGTGTTGCGTCCCCTGCTCAGAGCAGCCCTTAAGGCTGTGCTTGCCCCAAGCTGGCTTCAACGAACCAAAGGAGAGATGTTGCAGAAGGGTGGGCATGTGGTTTGGCTCTGCCCTGGCCCTGTTAGTAGTGAGCAAGTGCTCAACATAGCAGCAACATGAAGGAGCCAGGCTGCGCCAGACAGGGCTCATCGATTATTTTTTTGTCTTTCTCTTTTACTGTCACAGTTTGACAAAGAGCTGGTCCATGAGCTGGGGTGGGCTTGGTGCACCCCAAGCCTGCATTTCCCTTGCTGAGTGCTTGGCAGGTTGGGGCTGGGCAGAGCTTGGCTCTGACAGTCAGAAACCTGGATTCTCCTGCCAGCTTCAGTCCGGAGCTGCTGCTGCTAGCACCTGCCTGGAGAGGAGGTTAGAGGTGCATGTGGCCCACAGGCCAGTGGAAGAAAACACTTTGGTTTTGCTCTAGATCTTGAAAGGGCAAAGATGTGCGTTTCCCTGCTGAGCTCTGCAACACACTGCATGAGATGTCCTGTGTGCTATTTTCCCTTTCTTAAGGATGTCATATGTCAGATTTCTTGTTGGAGGAGCAGGCCAGGGCTTGCACTGGGCATTTCCAGGGTCTGTGTGGAAAGAGGGGCGCAATCAGAAAGTAGAAGAGCAAAATAAGATTGGCTTGGCTGTCTTTGGGAAGTTTGCACACAGACCAACCTGACCCAACAGCTCTGGGTGTGTCATGTGGCACATCTGAGGGACACAAACGTGTCCTCTCCTTGGCCCCTCATTTCTGATTTGGTGACTGGATAGGAGAGAAGCCAAGATGAGCATCTCTAGGAAAGACAGAGGAGGCTCAATCTGGGAACAGTCGACCCTCCTTCAATGTGTTGAAAGCCATAGCATCGGCTGCTCACCATTAAGTTACTCTCTGTAGCCAAGACCTACCCTTCCAGGTTTCTTTTCCTAATCTGCTCTCTGCATTCCCTGGCATGGCCTTCTGCCTGGAATTCCTCCCTGGCTGCCAGTCCTGAGAGCATGTGTGATGTGTGAGAGCTCAAGGCACTCAGGAGACTAGCTACTTGTTCCTCTCTGCACTGTCAGCATGGCTCCTGGGGCCATGAACAACACTGTGGTTTTGTTGCAACCAAATCCTTGTTGATTTAATCTGTGATCCCAGCTCAGAAGAATGCTCTGATCTGGTGCACTGGTCTCATGGGGACACAACATGTCTCCATGCACCCTGGGAAGATGCCTGTGGTCGGTGGCCATGTGGCCTGTGGTCCTCAGACAAGGGTTTACCAAGCCGTGAGAATTTGTGGGGGTTGGAGGGGGTTTGCTTGCAGCTATTATGGCTTATGGTGTGGAAGGACTGGTGAAACCTCTGTGTTATTTCAAACAAGTTTGAATGCATCTTTGATGTGCCACAAGCTGTTGCTCTTGCTGCCCAGTTCAGGCAGTGTGGTACCTTCATTGCTTCTCAGTCAAGTACAAGCTGCAGACCCTGGTGGTGGAGTTCTCTGGTCAGGAAAGCAAGGATTAGGTATTGTGAATCTAGGAGGAAAAAAAGCAATTTCATGAACATGGCCTGACCTACCCCTGGACTGGGAGGATGTTGTAGGGTTATTGGCTCCCTGAGGAATGAGGCAATGCTGCAAAGCAGGGGCAGAGCCACCGAACAGGTTCATGTTCTGAGAGGTGACAATTCCTGCCACACATGGACCTCAGTCCAGGCCTCCCACTTGACTGTTACATGTAGAAACAATTGGGAACAAAACCCAGTGGATGTAATTTAAGGATGCCGCTGGCAGAGCAGGGTGGTTTGGGAAAGAGCTTCATGCGTGCAATATGACAACTGCTACGTGGTGGGAGTTTTCCCACTCTGGGGGTGTTTCCCAGTTCTCTTCCATTTATATTTCTTAGCCTTTAGGACTTCATGCCTGCAACTTCTGAGGTCACCTTCCCTCAGCTTGCAGGATGGCAGCATAGGTGAAACACTGTTCTTTTTCCTTCTACTTTCCTTTTTTTTTCAGCATGTGGTACGTTCCTAAGACCTTTCCATTCTCACAGCTGTCCCCAGACTTCAGGCCACTGGAGACCTTGCAGTAACTTGGTTCCTTATAGCAGAACCTGGTGTCACCCGCACTTGTGGTGTATGGTGGTGGCCCTGGGTTGTGGCCTAAAGGTGACCAGCACAGGCCGGGCTGGTCAGGTCCTCTGCGGAGCCACTGCTGGACACCAGAGGTTCCCAGAGAAGCGACAGGAGCTCTGGCTGGGAGCAAGGCAGGAGCATGGACGCAGTCTGTGTTCTTCCCAATTCATAAGGCTGCTCAGGAACCCCTGTGGCAAGGAGCAGGTTCCTCCAGCACCACCAGTGTTGCCATCTTGTGTAACTTTATTATACATGCTGTGATATTAACCCCCCAGTTTCTGGAATCATGTGATTATATGAAATGACCAGCTTTTGTCTGCTTCAGATAAATTCCTGTTCAGTTTCTGTGGCTGCATAGAAGAGCTGGGAAGCAGGTTTTGTACGTAGGCTCAGAACCCAAACTTGAGGTTTAAATGACTTTTCTCTGCGTGTTAGGCTGTTGCTGGGCTAGGTTCTTATGCTTTACAAATACACAGATACTTCTTTATTTTGAAATGTCTTCAAAGCTTAAATGGTTGCTACAAGGTCCAGAATACATCAGCTGCTATTCCAACTGAATTCAGAGATGAGGCTGCAATAGAGCCTGGACTAGACAACAGATGGACCTGCACCGTGTGGAGGCAGATCCATGTCAATCAGGCCTAGGATCTCGGGGTTAAGTTTGGACCCTGCCTTTTGGGGGCTTTCTGGACCCTTTAGACCTTCACGTGCACAGCCAGAAGCAGCACATTTTTGCTGAGGAGGTTTCCTTGCTGCAAACCTTTGTCTTGGCTGTGTCAGTCAGGATATCTAAGAAATCCTCCAGCTGAATAAGCCCATCTGACAAAAGGAGTCAGACTCATGGCTGGGACAGCATCCGGTATGTGCACAAACTCTCTGCAGGACACTGGCAGAGCGAGAGACATTGCCTCTGGCCTGCGGCCCCGGTGGCTTTTGTCCTGTCCTTGCTGGCAGGCTCCTCCCGCAGTACAGGCGGAGGCAGGAAATCCTGGGCAGCTGCCATGGGAGCCCGCTCGCCTCTCCTCACTTCTCCTCGCCTCTCCTCCTCGCCTTGCCTCGCCAGGCCACCGCGCTGAGCTGAGCCAGCCCTGCGTGTGTGTGCATGCGTAGGCGGGGGGGCTGCTGCATGGATTTAGCAAAGGCTGGGAGGGAACACATGGGTTGGGTTTTTTTTCTCTTGGCCTGCGGTGGCTGTCTGTCCTGCCGGCCGTGGTTATGGATTCGATCATTATTCAGGAGCGGTTAGTGGAGCGGCTGCTTTCTCCCCGGACACAGGCACAGCGAAACCACCCAGCCAAGCTGAAGGTATGGGGATGTATTTATAGCACTGTGTGAGCCAGGGAGCAGCAGGGACAGGAGGGGGGAGGATGGTGCCTGAGAAGATGTGTGCAGCTCAAGATGAGACCTCTGAGGAGCAGAGGAGTGGAAAAACACTGGTAAGGGAGAGATGGCGGGGACAGAAAGGAGGGGAGCAGCTCCGCGGGAAGGGCCGAGGCGGGTGTTGGACAGCTGGGAGATGCACGACATTTTTGTGTGGTTATTTGATGCAGTGATTCCCTGTCTGAATGGTGTGTGTGTGCTCTGGGCAGGAGTTAGTGCTCTGTGTGTGCCCAAACTCAGTCTGGTTTGTGTTACCATATTAATGCTGTGCTTTGCTAGCTGTTTTTCCTTCTGCTGCAGCAAATGCTGGTGGGCGTGTGGTTTTGTTGATACTGCCACACTCAGCCCCGGGCCCAGGGCAGCAGATGTACTCGGAAGATGTCCCAGAGGCTGTTTGCGTTATGAATTTATGCAGCTTTCTGGCAATGAAAGGAAGTGAAGGGTCTGCCTCCTCTCTGGTGCTGTGCTGGTTCATGCAGATGTTGGTGTGGCGGCTGTGCCAGGCCGGAGGGGAACGGCTGGAGGAAGGGCCACCCAGGAGGGAGCTGATGGCTTGCGCTGCAGGCTGTAACACCAAGAGGCCCCCTCCATAGAAGTGGAGGCAGGGGCACCAGGATCTCCATCATTTCTGGGGTTTGCTCCAGACCTGGGTTAAGGGCTATTCAAATTTTCTGTGGTCCCATGGTGTTTAATTTTAGCCCTTTTGAATATACCCAGCAAAACCCCATTTATCCCCAGGCTGAATGGTGAATTCATGCAAGATCTGGATTGATTTAAACAGCATATCCACCGGAGAGGTGAGGAGGGAATCGAGAAGGACAGGAGCAATGGAAGCCGTGCTGTGCACCCTGCCTTGGAGCTACAGGCATCCCTGCAGACACTTCTGTACCAGGGATGACTTCTCTATGCAACAGATCCTGAATGTTTCTAACCCCAACAGGAACAGGACTTGAACCCGCCAGTGCTTTGTTCCTTGGCTTGAACTCTCACGGAGAGCACTGCCTGCCAGGGAGCCTTGGCTGCCTTGGCCAGGTAGTGGAGGATGTGAGGAGACAGTGTGTTGTGATGTCCGGTGAACCAGCGAGCGTGTGCTGAGGGAAAGTACAGGCGTGTCTTGCTTGGCCTGGGGTGCTTTGGTTTGTAGCAGGGCCCCAAAGGTTGGCCACATCTCCTGGTGGTCTCTGCTGCGGTGTGTGGAGCATGTTCCCAGGCGTGTGGGAGCGGGATGCCAGCGGGAACAAAGGCAGCACGTGGAGGAGGCAGTGGGGAGAGGGGCTCCTCATGCCAAAGTGCTGCTGGGGCCCTTTCTGACAGCTGGGGCTGGCGAGGGGGGCGCGGTGAAGCAGCCGGCTGTCCCGGCTTCTGTCAGCTTGATGGGAGCTGGCTCGCAGGGGTCAGGAGCATGTGGAGGGGGCTGTGATGCCTCCAGGAACTCCCTCAGCACAAGTCTCTCATCTAAATAATGGATTTTAGCTTTTCACAGCCCAGAAAGCCGCTTGCCCCCTTCAGTGCTCTCCACAGTTGCTCTACAGGTAACATCCATGTTGGGTCCTAACAAGGACAGTGAGTGGTGTAGGGCTTTGAGCAAGGCAGACCAGGCTCAGGAGGCTACTTGGGCTCCTTAAGTGCAATGCTGATGTTGGCACACTAGCAGAGATGGTGACACATGCCTTTCACAGTGCCTGAACATGGCTGGGATGGGAGTTCACATTGGGTGTCTGAAAGCCAGGATGAGGAACCGTGGGTCTAGGCTGGCCATGGTGTGAGGACCACACTGTTGTTCCTGGGAGAAGGCTGTTAGAAGAAGAGTATCCCTCCCCACAGTTTCCCCTCCATCTCTTGCCTTCACCCTTGGCAGACTTGCTGGGCACTGGATCCCAATAGGGCTCTGCAGTGTGTCCATGGCTGGGGACAGGGCTTCTCCCCTTGTGACTCTGGTTGCCTCCCACTGCAGGGGAAGCTCTTCTCTTGGTATGGCCTTCAGCACTGACCTTCCTTACAGTGAGGGAAATGATCCCTTGAGTCCTGGGTAAAGAGCAGTGTCCTGCGTCAGCCGAGATGTGCTCATTTCAAATGATGTGATTCCACTGAGCTATGGGGAGGTAACTAGAGGTGCAGCAAATCCACACTTTCTTGGTTGGGCTGAACAGAAATGAGAGATCAGGTTAAGTCTGTTACACTTGGCTGAAGTAAGCGGAGTTGCACCAGAGCTCAGCTCCCCAGTTGTCTCCATTGTCAGCCCTTAGTCATCTAGGTTAAAAAACAAAGAAAATAAGAGAAACACACCCCAAGCCTCAGCTATTGTTTTATTAGCATGTTACTAGTACTATTTTACATGCCAAGTCACTGGAGAGAGCAGGTGATCGTTGTCTTTCCAAAGTCTGGTAAAGATTGGGGCAGGCTTCTTCCTGCTCCAACCCAAAGCTTGGCTGTATGAGAAGTGCAGGGGGAAGGATGTTGCGTGTTTGTGTTACTTGCTGAGCAACACTGGTCCTTGCACGGGCTGTTACACGTGCACTTTGATTGTGTTCATGGATGTGTTTCACTGGGAAGCAAAGAAGCTGGGAGGCAGTCCTGGCACTGAGCGACACGGGCTGGAAGCGGCCTTTTTTTTTCTTGATCTTGCCATTATCGCATTTCTCACTTTGCTTTGCACACCTCGTGTTTACCCTTTACTGAGTCTTTTATGTGGCAGTTCACAGTGTCCCCCAGGCAAGTATTGCTTTGCCACGTGCAGCTCATCAGAGCTGCCATCACTTTTCATGCTGGCGTCTCATCACTGCTTGCTGCACTGCTGCTTTGGGATGCCACTGCTTTTTAGCTCAGCTATTAGATCTGCCAGTGGGCAGATCTCTAATTCTCTCCACTTCTCTGATTTAATTTTCTCTGCTCTTTCTTGCCTTTCTGGACTGGGTGGTGAAACAGCATTGCTTCAGCCACGTTAGCAAGGAGGTGAGGTGAGGGAGACCAAAGCCAATGGTGACTCTGTCTGTCAGGGCTAAAGCGACCAAGTCTGAGACCCAAATCAACCCCAAATTTCTAGAAGGCAGTGACCATGCTAAAGAACGGAGTCCTTGGTCCACAATAGCTATCAGCCATGTTTGTCCCATCTGAGTGGGCAGTTCCAGAGCAGCCATAGATTGGGAGGAGGAGACTTTGTGTCCTCCCTACTGTATGTCCCCCCTGGGACTTTGCAGTTTTCCTGGCTGAGGATGCTCACATGTGTGGGCATGCAGCCAGAGGCTGCAGAGGGTTGCTCGGGAGCTGCATTGCCCACTTGCAGTATGGAAATAGGTTCAAGTCAGCATTGCCCTGAGCTCAACACACTAAATTGTAATTTGTGTATCTTTGCGTGTGTGCTCCAGCAATGGAGATAGTTAAACAGGAACAGAGGTCTTCCCTGCTGTGCTTGGAGAACCAGTGCCAGAGAGCTGCAGAGTGAGGACAGCCATATGCCTGAAGTCATCCGTGGTAGGGTAGGAGCTGGGGCTTGTTTTGCAGAACTCCTGGCTCCATGTATTTGCCTGTGGTGTAAATCCCAGGGGTATGTTTATTTTAAGTGATGTTGAAAAGTGGACTCTCTGATGTCTCTAGCTCAGGCATTTGTGAATGGCTGCTTCCCCTGTGTCTAGCTTGGAAAGTATGTAAGAAGGGAGGCGTTTGCCAGGGTCCATGCACACACACACACCCCCTCCATGGGACCTGGGGAAGGGAACACACTGCCATGGGGTGCAGGCTGTGAAAGTCCAGGGGTGCTCAGGTGGAGGCTGGCTGGCTGGAGCAGCAGGGCTGTGTCACCCACAGTTACCCGCAGCCACCTGAGCTGTGAGCACGAGAGGCCGTGCTGAGCCCAGCCTGAGGGCAGTACCTGGTGCAGGTCTGTGAATCCCCTAGATGAGCCATCTTTGCCTTTTGGGACGTACCTTGCTCGAGCAGGGTGTGTGCCCCTGGGACGCAGCACAGGCTGCAGGATGTGTGCCTTGTGCTTGTCAAACACACCATTGGTCATGTCACTCCTTGTGTGCTCTTAGTGTGCTTGTAGAGAGCCGGTGCCACGCTTGTGGGGTGGCTGCAGCTTTTCTGCTGTATGAGAGCACTCAGTGACGGGGGGCTGCGTCTGGGGGGTGGTTAGGCAGTAGGTAACACTCCAGTAATAATATATATAATACCTTCACCAACAGCATCTCCCCTGTGTTATCAATACTTCTGCATCTTCCCACGCCCCTTGAACTTGTCTCTTCAGAAATAACACTAGAGATTATTTAGGATTTCCTCTTACTCAACCAGGAGTGGCTGTGACACAGCAAGAAATCCCCCTCTCACAGAAGCCAAGCCACCGCGCCTTCCTCTAGACACTGCTCCGGACACCAGAAGCCCTGGGGTGCTAATTACAGAGAGCTCTTTGTCATGTACTGCATGCGTCTCTGGAGGGAGAGATGTAGAAATGACTAAAAGACCTGGGGAGCGGTGACATTTGGTGACCCTGCTGTGAAGGGAGCCTGTGACTGTGTAGGAGAAGGAAGGAGTTAGGAAGGTTGTGTGTCGGTAGCAGCTCCAGATGTGCTGTCTGGTGGGAATGGCGGGATGTGCCTTTTCCCTTGAGCTCTCCATGCTGGGAGGCTCCCATCAACTGCCGTGTTGGCTGGTGAGAGCAGCCGAGCAGGGCTGTGGCTGGGAGGAGGTGGCCCTCTGTGCCCACCTGCGGGAAGGGCAGAAGTCCCTGAGCCTAGAGGAGGTGTGTGCCCTGCCCTGCCCTGCTGCCAGGGCAGGACCGATCTCTCTTCCAACCCTTGGCGCTGCCTCAGGGGCTTTTGGAGTCCATCTCCCTGGCGCTGCATGAGGCTCGAGCAGGAAGGGTGGCACACCCTGACTTGCTCCCATCCACCTCTGCCCTGCAGGACCATGAGAAGCAGTACGTGGGCTTTGCCACTCTGCCAAACCAGGTCCACCGGAAATCTGTGAAGAAGGGTTTCGACTTCACCCTGATGGTCGCAGGTGAGACTGCCCCTGGATGGAGGTGGCTGGGCCACATGGTGGGTGTGTGGAGGGGACCAGCTCCCCTAACTTCCCTTAGGTACTCCCTTAGCACCTGGATCCTCCCCTCACTCTGTTCTGGTCCTTGTCTCAGAACGTGCTTTGCTCCCCAGCCTGTGTTGCAGTCAGATAGTTCCCCCAGGAGGAACAGGCCCCTCTTGACTTCTCACAGCCCACTCGAGCAAGCTTCTCCAGCAGAGTGGCTGTTCTGGGTGGTGAGGTCAGGGCCAGCCAGGGACTAAGGGAAAGGAAAGAGAGGGAGGATGAATGAGCCGGGAAGATCACATTTGTACAAGGATTGAGACATCTTGAAGCAAAAGTCCTCCCACTGCTGGAAAAAATGTAATGCCAATAAACAGCTTCTGACAGCTTGCCTCTCTCGCTTCCTCTGCCTCAGGATTCAAAACCCTGTTCAGAGTTTTGTTTGTAAGTCAATTGGGTCATGTTACCCGCTTTTCCCTCCTCCCCTTTGCACTCTGTCAATTAGGAGAGTCGGGTCTGGGCAAATCCACGCTGGTGAATAGCCTGTTCCTGACAGACCTCTACAAAGACAGAAAGCTCCTCAACGCAGAGGGTAAGTTGGGGACAGAGCGGGGTGAACCGTTCTTGTGGTGAACTGTTCTTCAGATCTAAATTGTCCTAAGGACTAGTACTTTGGTTCCTTGCTTCAGCAGCAGCTACAGGCTTGGCTGGATCCCAGCCCTGTTGTTGCTCTGCTCTCCTTTGCTGGCTACAAAGGCACTAATATTTGAGCAAAAAGGGTTTGGCTGTAGGGCTCATCTGTCCTACAATGGGAGGACAAGGCTACAGAACAGCACTAGCCCTTTGGGTTGAAATGTTGGGATTTGTCTTTTATTCTTGGGTACTGGAGTGTGGTAGGGATTCCCCTTCCCAAGTGACCGGACGAAATGTTCAGAACAGCTGGGTTACAAGTGCTTCAGAGGTTTGTGTATCTTCTCAGTCTGTCTGCCTGCTGCTGTTCTCCCACAGTACCACTCCCTTGAGGCTCCTTAGAAGAAGATCAGGGTTTTTTGAAACCCATGTTACTCCCTGTGCTCAGTGATAAGGAGGGAGCTGGCTTGTCGTGGATGTGAGCGGGGATCCCCAGTGTTACTGCCTGGCTTTAACTCACAAATTCCTCTTTAAAGAGAGAATCAACCAAACAGTGGAGATTGTCAAGCACACGGTGGACATTGAGGAGAAGGGTGTCAAGCTGAAGCTGACCATAGTGGACACACCAGGCTTTGGAGATGCTGTTAACAACACTGAGTGGTGAGCAGGCCACTGCTGCCTTCCTTCTAGTCCTTGGCCATTCCTGTTTTCTGTGGGTGCTTCACAGGACAGGGGTCTGGCAGTGGGAAGGGGATGCTGCTGCCTCATAGTCCCTAGGAGACGCTGTCCTGTTAAACACATTATTTTGTTTTGATTGAATTGCCCTTCCCAGCTGGAAGCCCATCACTGACTACATCGACCAGCAGTTTGAACAGTATTTCCGTGATGAGAGCGGCTTGAATCGGAAGAACATCCAGGACAACCGCGTGCATTGCTGCCTCTACTTCATCTCGCCCTTTGGGCATGGGTGAGAGCCCCCACTCCAGGGCTGGGGTGTGACTCAGTCCCAAGGGAAGATCCTTGTGCCCCACAATTGCCCTAGAGCAGCTTGTACATTGTACATTGGCAGGGCTGTTGGCACAAGTAAGAACCATCTGGATGCTCTCCCTTGGCTCAGCATCATACCACCTCTCTCCCTGTCGCTTACATGACAGACTGCCTGAGGTCAGGCAGAGTGGATCTCCTTCAGGCTTTACAGCCTCTTTTGGAAATCAGGAGAAATAATGCCACACAAACTTGTATCTTCTCATCTAGCTAAGCCTGACTGATGAGTAGGAACGAGAGTTTTAAGCTGCCTTCAGACTCTGCCCCTTGCTGACTCATGTGCCAGCCTAGTGTGGAGCAGCTGGAGGGACTGTGTTGGCTGCTTGTAGTAGAGGGCAGCTGGAAAGAGGCCCTGGGCTGTGACCCGGGCAGTATTTGGCTTGCAAGGGAGCAAATACCCAGCCTGTGTCTCTGTGAGACATTCAGCAGCTAAAACCTGAGACAGCTTTCCTGAAGATACAGGCTGTCCTAGTGCTGTCGCAGGCTCTTGTGACAATGTTGTCCTTTCCCCTTCATGCTGGAGGGGGAGCTCCCCCTCCTTACTAACCATGTCCCTCCTTGTCCCTGCTGCAGGCTGAGGCCTGTGGATGTTGAGTTCATGAAGGCTCTTCATGAGAAGGTCAACATTGTGCCCCTGATTGCCAAAGCCGACTGCCTGATCCCCTCTGAGATCCGGAAACTAAAAGAGAGGGTGAGATGCTCTTTTTTTATGGTGGTATACCTGATGTGGTGGCAGGGGTGGGCTGAGAAGGGGGGAGATATATATGTATGTATGTATGTAGTGTGTGTGTGTGTATATATATACACACAGAGTACCTGCAAATCTAATTGCAGCAATGCTCTGCTGTGAGAAGGGAAGTGGTGTCTGCAGAGAGGCCAGCTGTAGAAGAAACATCAAACCCTTTTGCCACCTGTAGGCTATAACAAACCCATGCTAGCACGAACGAGGAATAAACCCAGCGTTTCTGTATTGTTCAGTGTTGCATCCTTTTGTTTTTGTCTTGCATGGAAACAGATCCGGGAAGAGATTGACAAATTTGGCATTAAAGTGTACCAGTTTCCTGAGTGTGATTCTGATGAAGATGAGGAGTTCAAGCAGCAAGACAGAGAGCTGAAGGTAAGGAACCTGCTCAGCAGGGGACTGGGAAGTCAGGCTCATGGGTATGAGAAGGAGCCAGAGCTGCCCTGTGTGTGCAAAAGGCCTCTGCTACCGATACCCCGGGGACAGCCTATGTTGGCTTACATGGTAGATGGCCTGGAGAAGGTGCTGATGTCCTTGCTGGTGCCATGAAGTCGTGTGGCATGAAGACGTGGTACTTCTACTTTCCCACCAGGCAGTGTCAGTCTTTCCTTGGTCTACCCGGGCCTGTATGTTTAAGATAAAGGCTGGGTTGTACAACATTTTTAAACACCTGTTTCTGAGTGATGCCATCAGCAAGGAGGAGCGGTTTGTGAGCAGTGAGGCACCACTGTGACACACCAGTTGCGTGGGGGGAGACAATATGATCATTCAGGCCTGTCTGGAGGCCCCAGTAGCCCCGGCCTGACCCTCTCCCTAGCTGAGCCAGCCCTGTACGTGCATGCAGTATGGCCTTGTTTCTCCTGTCAGAGATGTGCAATGGGTTTTGACTTCCTTCTGAGCAGAAAGGAGCACAGCCTGCACATCCCTGCCTGGACAAGCTCTTGGCCTCCATTGTCTCACTTGCTTGGTGTCCCAACCTCTCTGCTCTGGCTTCCTTGTAGAGCTTCCTCTCAAAGAAGGGATGCAGGCATCTGCAGAGACACAGCTTCCTTCAGGCCAGCTGAGAAGGTCAGGCTGGGAATTAGGCTGCCTGCAGATCCCAGTGCCTTAGGCTTTTCTCTGCAACTAGGTTGTGCTGTCCTGTGCTGTGGCATGTATGGATGTCCCTGTGCCTTTCCTACCAGCGCCTTCCTCCTCCTGTTCTGCTCCACCTGAGCTTGGCCCTTGGAGGAGGTAGGATGAGCTGGGCTCAGTGATGCCTCTCATTCCAGGAGAGTGCTCCCTTTGCCGTCATTGGCAGTAACACTGTGGTGGAAGCGAAAGGCCAACGAGTCCGTGGACGGCTCTACCCCTGGGGCATTGTGGAAGGTAAGCGTGGTGCCTGGGAGCCGGCACTGTGCACGAGCGGCAGGCAGGCATGGGGGAAGGACAGGCAGGCACTTGCATGAGGGACAAGAGGGAGAGCTCACCTCTGCACAGCCATGACTGACTGTGCCACCTTTGGCACATGGCAGGGGCAAGGTAGGATAGAGACAGAGGCACCGGGACTGATTATGGCTTCCTATTAAGGAGGAGACTGGGAATTGCCAGGTTAGTTTCTGGGTAGAAGCCACTGCCCTCAGCTGAATCATAAACCCTCCTGCACTCCCTCCCTCTGCTGCCGCTCCTGTATGTGCTGGAGTTACTGGGCTGGAAGCTATGCTGATGCACAATGTGTTTGTCTCTTAACTTTCCTCCTCTCTAAAGGGAGAAATTTCATAAAGCACGTAGGCAGAATAACCCTGGAATGGCTTTTGCTGCTGTTGCTGACTCCCCCATGCTGGTGTACAGCTTTAAGGTCTCATAGCTTTAGATCCCAAAAGTTTGTGTGTGCACTCACGGGCTGGTGCCTGCTGTTTGGGCTGCCCAGCTACTAGCTCTGTTCTACTGGCTCCGGAGTGGGCTGTGCCAGACAGGGTGCTGGCATTTGGCAGTGGGATCATCTTTGTGAAACCCTGGGCCTGACACAGCCAGCTTCTGCCAGACCTGCGGAGAGGTAAATGGAGATCACCACAGCAGGCAAACAACTACTGAGCACAACGCTTCCCTGCAGAGTCTCGCAGTGCTGCCTGGAGCCTGGTTCCCTGTGGTAACAGCAGCTCTTTGAGCTCTCCAGACCATCGCCTGCTCATGGATTTGCCTCTCAGGGGCTGATTATGCCTACAGGGACTTTTTGATCAGTCCTAAATTCTGAGGAAACGAGCAGTTTGCCTCCAGCACTGGTTGCACTGAGCTGTGGTTATAACAATGACATCCCATGTATCTGGAACCAGAACGGCATCCTCTTTCAGGACTCTGCTGTATGTGCTTCGTTAATCCTCTTACCCAGAAGAAGTCCTGGGAACACAGTGACTTCAGCAGCCTGGCCTCAGTGCTGAGAAGCACAGAGCATCGTCAAGGCCTGCTCCAGGGCCAAGGGGAGAGCCCCAGGCAGTGGCAGGATCCCTGGGGGGAGTTTTAGTTCAGCCTGAGTGCCAGGAAGTGGGAAGGGGCACCCTGAAGAGGGCTGGTGAGGTGTGACATCCAAGCACTCTCCTGTTGTTGCTTCCACAGTGGAAAACCAGGCACACTGCGACTTTGTGAAGCTGCGGAACATGCTGATCCGGACACACATGCACGACCTGAAGGATGTCACTTGCGATGTCCACTATGAGAACTACAGAGCTCAGTGCATCCAGCAAATGACTAGGTGGGTCCCCACTGCTTCAACCAGAGGTGGCAGGGGTGTCTCACTCTCTGCGGAGCTGGGGTTGCTCTCAGGCTGGCTCGTCAGTCAGGACAGTATGGGTCTGCTGAGAACGTACTGGGCTGCAGCCTGGGGAAGTAAAATAGCAAATCCAAGCATGCCTCCTACAGCCTGAGCCCATGGTGGGGATGCTCCTGAGAATCCATATTCCTGTCTGAGGTTTTCCCATGTAGATCTTGGGATACAGGCCTGGAGATTGTTTTGAGGATCTGTTCTTAGCACTGGGTGAAATAGATCCAGCCTAATGAAACAAGGAATAAACCATCTCTCTGGTGGGTGATAGCTGTGTGCTTTTCCAAAGAGAAAGGCATTCTGCAGTCTATAGTTCTGTCCAAATGACAGCAGGACCCTTGGGATGCTGCTGTTTCTTAGACAACGGAATCCAGGCAATTAGCAAGACTCTTAACATATCTCCAAAGATTTCTCTACATTGTCTTCCCATTTGATTCTCAGTGGTTTTAGTCACAATGATCAGAAAATAAAAGAGAGAACACTCATGGGCTTCTCATTTGAAACCTCCTTTTTTCCTTCTCCCTTCCATTACTAAAACAGTGGTGACAGATTTTAGGTTTCAGTAGGTTTTGGTTCATCTGTTGTAAACCATCCCCTTCACTTCCTGCCTGAACTGGCGGGGTAGCTCCGTGCTGCCACGTTGCAGAGCAGAAATGGCTGCACTTCACTAAGGAACAGTCCTGCATGTGTGCAAACGTGCAGGTTGGCACATTCTGTTCGCACACAGTGTATCTCGGTACTTTTGCATAGCAGATGAGCCTGTCTTTTTCAACAGTGAGAATATGGAGTCCCAAAATAACTGTGTTAAATGCTAGATATCTGTGAGAAGTGTCACAGCTGCTATTTAGGTAGGCTATGTATCTATTGAAAGAAAAGCATGATGAAAAAGCAGTTGCTCAGCTTAAGAAAAGCTAAAGTTTGGTACCATTTCTCAAGCCATGGCTAGTTCCTTGCTAGTGAACAAGTCTTGCAAAACCAGAGCGTGGCCATTTCTAGCAGTGGGATAAGGGTCCTTCTCTAGAGAGAAGTTCTGGGAGGAGGTCCCAAGTTCCAGGGCTGGAATTGACTCAATAGTGAGCCAACGGTGACACCAAGTGGTGAACGCCTGCAAGTGGCATCTTGAATTCCCAGTTTCAGCCCATCTTTGTCCACTACCACCCCCTCCTTACCTACTGAGGGCTGCTCTGAGTTTTGGAAGAAAGTCACCTCCTTCCTCTGTCCTTTGCCTGCACTCATGTGCACCCCCAGCCCTCATCACAGTGCTGCTGTGCCATGCCTGTTGTGTCTTATGTCTCCCACCTCATGAATATGACAGACTTTGTTATCAGACTTGCAGTGATTAAACTGCTCTCCTGGTTTTATTTTTCTGGAAAAAAAAAAAGGACCATGGTGAGCATGTGGTACCTTAGGGATGTTGACTGTTTGTATTGATGCAGAGTACATGTAGGCACATGCACAGATGAGCCAAAGGAGACCAGATAAATTGTAAATGTCTCTGCTGTGCTTGCCAATGCAGTTACAAAAGGTGGTCAGAAACATCAGGACTTTCTGTGTTTGCTCTCAGTGTAGCCCTGGTTTGAATTTTCTCTGTTAGCTACCCACAAGCTTCTATTTTGAAAACTTTATTGACTTTGGTCTCATTCTGCATCTGAGTGCATCCCACGCCTCTGGGCTAGATTGCCCCATAGCCTCTCCACCTGGCTGGCTGTGTGCTGCTGTGTTGCTGTCAGATCTGTCCTCGTGGGTGACAGCCATCGCATGGTGACACCAAAGCCAGCCAACGTGAACCATGACTGACTGTGTTTCTCCCTTTTCTCCATCTCCCTAGCAAGCTGACTCAGGACAACAGGATAGAAAGCCCGATTCCTATCCTGCCTCTCCCAACACCAGACACTGAGACAGAGAAGCTGATCAAAATGAAGGATGAGGAGGTGAGACCCATTTCTGCTTGGGCCTCCTTGGTGTGGGAGCTGAAATCTGAAGAGGTTTTCCAGGATTGCCCCATAAAGGCTGTCCTGGGGCTTCCCACTCCTGCCTCCCACCATCGTGGACTCCTGGTGTGGAAGACAGGGTGTGAAAGCTGTGGCTTCCTCTGTCAGGGAAACGTGGCTCCATTCCACCCCAGATATAGATGCCTCTGTGCCCAGGCAGGAGTTAATAGTCTCTGAGGAATCCCTTTGTGAGCTCCAAGGAACTGCCTCCAGTGCAGATCACCAGTTCCTGACCATAACAGATCCCTTTTTGACTCTGTCTTCTCTGTCTCATGCAGTTACGGCGGATGCAAGAGATGCTGCAGAAGATGCAGCAGCAGATGCAGGATCAGTGAGAGTCAGGTACTCGGAGGGCAGAGGGAATTCTCCAGTGACCATCTGAGGCCTGGCAAGAGCTGTGGACATTTAGAAAAGGTTTCCCATTGCATAGGGACTTGTGGGCAAGAGCTGGACCCACACCCTCTAATTTATTAGCAGCAGTGCTGGCTTTGTGGTCAGCTGGATTGTGGAGGAAGCTGTTCACTTAACAGTTTACTGATGTGTATTTCTTTTTTAATGATTATTCTTTCTTTTCTTTTTTCCTTTTTTTTTTTTTTTTTTTCTTTTTTTCTAAAGAAAATAGCCTGGGAAGTCCCTAAGGCATCCTAAAAAAGAAAAGAAAAAGATCTCCCTTTCTCATGTACTAATCTCTTGTTTGGGAATGCTCTGGTATTTAGAGTCCTGGTTTCTCTGGTGTACAAACTTGAAGACTGTCTGTGTCAATGCACGTAAATGTTTACTCCCAACTGAGGTGCTGTGTCCCCCTCCTCATTCCCCTTGTCTGGGGGCAGCACAAGCATTGTAAAGGCAGCCGTACCCTCCTGTGAGTTTGACCTGCACTACTCTGGCTCCTCAGCCTGGGGCCAGCTCTGGCCCAGAGAGATAGGGCTGGGAGTTTTTCTGTGCACTGACCTTCTCAGGGGACCTGATCGTTGCCTGGTTTCATGCCTGGGCTTTTCTGGGTTTTTTAGTTGGTTGGTTTTGGTTTTCCTATCAAGAAACTCCAGGATCTTTGCACTGAGCAGCAAGGGACTGAGTCTGTTGAGGTCAGTTAGAAGAAAACATCTAATGCTCTCAGTTATGTCTTTCTGGCAGAGAGGATGAGTTGTTGACTATTTCCTGCAAGGAGGAGATGATGGGAGTGACCACCTTCCCAGCCATGGTTTCCTCCCATGGCAGGCTAGAATTGTTGGCAGAGGAACCCCAGGGCCCTGCAGTAGCTGGGTGAGGGTATCTCATGGTTTAGCTCTGGTCATCCAGCTGCAGCGTGTCTCCACTGTCTGCTCCGAAAAGCTCCATGGCAGCCAGAGTGTCTGCTTTGCAGCCAGTGTCTGCTGGTGGGTCTGCTCTGACGGGGTAGAAACTAGGGCTGAAACTCAACCCCAAATGCAGAGCTGTGCCCTACTCCCAGGCTTCCTGGTCCCACAAGTACATTGCTGGGTCTGAGTTTCTCCTGGGGAAAGGGACAGTTTCTGTAGGCTTGTACCAGAGATCTGCAGGCTGTCTGTCCAGGCAGGGCTTGGGTCAGCGTGGCAGGTGCAGAAGTGTCACTGCATGGGGCTGAGCCCAGCCCAGCAGAATTTGTCACTTGCTCCCCTGCCCTTCCCCTGGGACTCAGCCCTTCCCTCCCTCCCTGGTCTGTGGCTCTTCCTGCTGGGAAGGCTGGTAGATCTGCTGGGCAGAGATAAGAGCACTCTTTGGGCAGCAACTTCTGTCCTGTTCTTGCTTCCTGCAGTATTTTTAAGTTTAGTACATCCAGAGCAGAGCCCCGGAGTGTGATGCGCCTGACAGGACAGGCCTCACCAGCAACACTGCCATGCTCACAGGGAATCGGCGCTGTTGGAGGGAAGAGATGGTTAGCTCTTCCCTCCAACTTCAGGGAGTGCTGCCATGGGCTGGGCCCTTCTGCTCCTCTGGCTCCCACCCCAATTCCTCTGTCCCCTTTCCCCTTTTGTATCTGCTCCTCCATCTCTGGCTCTCCCTAGTAGATCTCCTTGGGTAGGAAGCATAGTGTTGGCCAGGAATAGCCAGGCTCTAAATTCTCTTATTAGGCACTGTGTTTGTCTGATTCCCCTGGGGGCTTTAGAGTCCTGATCAGGGCTTGTCCAGGTGGTAAGTAGGTTGGCTGGTTCCAGTTACTCACTGTACAGAGCCTCTGCTTAGCCAGAACATGTGCTGTAGGGGCAGGGAAGAGACCCTGACACAGTATGGAAAGACAAAGTGAGGGTGGAAGCCCCTTGACAGAAATGTGCAAGCTGGGCAAGAGCAGTGTCTAACAATGTTGGGGTTTTTTCTTTCATTTTACCCTATATTGGGTTTGTAAGTGACAGTGGCAGAGCCAGCCTAGGAGAGGGCAAGGGTTCATCTTGTTTTCATTAACATGCAGGACCAAGGTGCTTAAGGAGGAAATAAAACCTTTATTTCTGTGATGTGCTTACTTGAGCAGTGGAGTAGCCTGAAACAGGAGCTTCCTTCAGGTTTTCTGGAGCTGGTTTGCTGCTGTCCAAAGCAGGAGGACTGCCGAGTTCTCCATTTTATCTGTACTAGCATAATGGGAAACACCTTGCAGAGAAACACCTGTCCCTCTTTTCTTACACTAGTCTTGCGTGTGAGGAGGATGTTTTGTTGGAAATGAGTCCTGTCCAACTGGAGAAGATAAAGGAGACCTTTACCCTTTAGCATGGACATAAAGGAGCTGACAGCTTCTATCCTGGGATGTGTGTGGAAGTGCTGTGTGCTGGTGAGAGCACAGGGTATGCTGGTCACAGACAGGCAGGATTGCTGATGGTGAATTGGCCCCTGTCCTTCAGGGTGAGTAAGTCTCCATCAGCTCAGTGCACATGGCTCCTACATCAAGTCAATAGTCACAAGCCCGTCAACTACAAAGAGCTGAAGCCTTTGGCTACCGGCTGGCAAAGATGGTTGAAGTTGCACTGCAAAAAAGCCACGCACGAGTGAGGCACCAGAGAGGTGGCTCCTACAGGGGGGCAGTGGTGCTGCTGCAGTCACATCCCTGTGTAGGAGGTTCCCTGCCCAGAGCACCAGAGCTTGGGGGCTGCCTGGAAAGGGATTAGAGACTGACTTTGAGGGACACTAGGGATTTAGACTCTGGCCTGGAAGGTGGCATCTGTTTATTAAAGGAGTATTTTGTACTGCTGCATTGAGCTGTACAGTAAGTGGAGAAGAGACTCCTGAACAAATGTAGCTTGGCCATTTGGCTCTGGCAGTGAGAAGTGTGGATAGAAAAGTAATTTAACACCTCCCCTCACGCAACCCTCCACAGCCTCATGCCGCCCCTGTGCCCCCAGGCACATTCTCACGCCTCTGTCAAGCTTTGCCCTGCTGAGTGAGTCGCTGCAGGGATGGTGTCCTGCTCTGCAGAGCTATCCCAGGCTGCAGCTGGGGCTGTCAGTACAACATCTTGGACCTTGTGCCCGACTGGGGATGGAGCTGTGGCATGAACTTGTGTGCCGTGGCTGTGCTGGTCCTGTCTGTGCAGTCCTTGCTGCCACACCACCTGCATCCCCCCAGAGAAGGAGGGGGTCCCACTCCTCATGCTCTGCGATGGCATTCCCTGCTCCTCCTCACCACCTCTGCTGTGCTTTAACACTGGCTTGCTCCTGCCATGCAACTTCCTTACCCCCTGCTCCATTCCTAGGCTCTTTGTTTCCTGTCCATCTGTTGGGTTATTATAATATATATTTTTTTGTAAATTTCTGTTTGAACATTTTGTCATTGTGAACAAAGAAAAATGAAACCTTTTAAAACATATCCATTTTATTAAATGATTATTGTTGTTGTTATTATTATTATTATTATTATTATTAATGTTTACTACCTGAATTGATCAGTGGAATAAATACATTCAAAAAAGCAACCTCTTTCTGTTTAATTTTTAGTCCCCTTGAGCAGCATTGGTGATACATTATGGGCAGGAGAGATCAAAACTGACACTGTTTTCTCCTTTTGTCTAATTCTGACAGAGCAGGCTCCAGGCAGGGCTTCCTGCATGGGATTTCTGGCCTGTTTATGTCAGGAGCTAGACAAGGTGATCTTGAGGTTCTTCTATCTTTAAGCTTCCATTAGGAGAGGTGTCTAAATTGGCAATGGGCAGCTGGGCAGGTTTCAGTCCCAGGAAATCCATTTTGTAATTAGCCAAAGGTGCATTGCTGAGTCTGTGCTGCATGCAGAGCCAGAACGGGTCTGGCTGTAGATCAGCTCCATGCCACACCTGTCCTGAAAACCTGCCTGTGAATAAACGTAGCACAAAATGCATGAGATGAGTCAAGATGCTCCTAAGTGGAAGGTATGTCCTGCATTAAAAACTGGGCTCGTTTGTCAGCCTAAGATCTCTTTCCCACTCTGTCTTGCCTGCCGCAGTGAAACAACTGGAATGATCTGCTCCAACTTTTTAGAAATGTAAAGCTTAATTGTTTAGAGCATCAGAAATTTTCCCTTGGTTAGGACCAAATTCTACTGTTGTTCACATCCTAAATTCTCTTAACATCAGCATATTCAGGGCATTCATCATTTCTGCTCTGTACAATTTGCACAGTACAAGGTAATGAAGAGATGGGCCTAATGGGGCAACAGTTTTGCAATGTAATTCTGGTGGCTTATCCTAAGGAGCATAGCCAATGCCTAGTGTCAGGCTGGTGGCAAAAAAATGTCTGTGAAGGTGCAATGGCCTTGAGAAGACAAGTTTCTACCTAAATATAGTTTTGACCCTTGGACTTTCCTGTTCAAGTATTTCTGTAATGCAAATTATGAAAAAAGGATGTGGTTAGTCTTTCTCAGTAACTGCAAGCTGCACTCACTGAGAGCTGCCAACTCACTTGGCTATCAAAAGTGTAGTCCCTTGGAGCACTGTCTTTCCCAGTCTGTTATCCTTCCTGTGAATCTAACTAGTGTATTTTGATGTAGATAGTAAAATGCCAAGAGTTATATTTTAGCCCTAAAACAGCCATGAGAGGATGCAAGTGCCTGGAGTATCTTTCTTCTTGGCTCAACTATTGACACCAGCGTGGTCACTGGAAGTCCACTTCTTCCAGCAGATCTTCCACCACTAATTAGAAGTAGATTTGTGTCACTACTTCAAGGGAAACCTTGGGGTCAGCACATTGCAAAGTGCTAGGTCTTACCACTCTGTCAAATATAGTCTTCCTGATGAGACTGGAAACCAAAGGCCACAGTGCTCAGGGAGCATGGTACAAACCGGTAACATCACCTTCCATGTTGAGATGTGTTTTGAGTTACTACCTTGCAATTGAGGCTTTGTGATGTTTCTGTTGGACTGAGCATGTGGGCCCAGAATCGTGTTCTTGTGCGCGATGACGACTCCCATTTCTTGGAAGACTTGCTCAATAAAGCCTCAGCTTCCCGTGACATGCAGCAAACTTGCAGGAAGACTTTGTGTGGGAGGTGTCCCTAGGATGAGCCTGACCCTTATCTTGCCAGACAGCTGCAAGGGGATTATCTGAGAGCTCAGCTATGCAGCTGCAAACACTCTTGCACTGGCTGGTCTGCCTTAAAGTCTTCCTCTTGTGTTGTAAAGCCAGCAAGAAAGCAACAATTGAACTACTTTGGTAAGTCAACAAAGCTATTTTCTGTTTTGTTTTGTTTTGTTTTAAATCTTTTCATTTGGTTGACAGATTGCACAGAAAAGCACTGCCTTGTTACAGGTATGTGCTCCTGAAGATGTTAGAGCAGCTCATGTGTTCAGTGGTGGCATGAGACTGCAATACAAAGACAGCTCATTGACCCATGTCTCCCAGCACGGTCACAGCTCCAGAAGGAGATTATTCACCTGCGGGAGCAATGTCTAGGATGAGAAACTCCACTGACCTTCACCCTCGGTGGTCAGCACCCTCTCTGCTGGCCAAGGACTGTTTACCACCTCTTTTCAAAACTGGAAAGGCTATTTTTTACTTATAACAGTAAATTTATTTCTGAATCTCCTCTTGCAGTTTGCATGAACAAAGCTTTGGTTACAGATGTAATTCAGAACTATGATAAGTCATGAGCAGTTTCATATACTAATTTTTGATTCATTGACATAAATTTTCTTGGCTACCCTAGTAAAGTGCCTCCAGTAATGCTGAAAATACAAGCAGCTCTTGTATGCTTCTGAGGACTGGTGAAAATGAATTTGATGGCTGCAGCTAAGCTTCCCGGGAGCCATCTGTTCATATTCCACCTCAAATCCAGGGTTGGAAGACTACAAACATTCCCTCTCCCATAATGACCAAGAATTTTCACAGCATCTCTTTTAACTCTGTTCTTTTCAGAGTTTCCGGCTTCAAATCCCAGACAAACCCCACCACTCACTCAAACAGAGGACACATCTCCTGTGAAAGACTCTAAATTCACTCAATTTCAGTAACACATCCTCAGAACAAACCAGCGAAAGACCAGGGCTGTGGTGTTGGTCCTAGAGTGCGTGGTGTCTACTTGCCTGGTCTCTACCTCATCCAGTCTCACCAGGGGAGTGTTTGCAGGTGAAGATGAACAGTGAAATTCTTTTCTTGTCCCTCCTTGGCTTCCTTCCACTTGTGATACCCACATGCCCTGTGCCATGCAAGTGTGCCAGCAACATTATTGACTGCACATCAAAAGGCCTAACTGTAGAAAAACTACCAGCTGCTTTCCGTCCTTCAGCTGAAATTATCCACCTTGGTTACAACAGGCTCACCTCTATTCCCAGTGGGCTCTTTGACAACCTAAACAGCCTCCAGGTAGTCTACCTGCAGGGCAACCCTTGGGAATGCAACTGTGACATCCTCTACTTGCGCTCCTGGCTCCAGTGGCAGCAGAACCGGACCTTATACAGGGACGTGAGATGCACCTCCCCAGCTCACCTGCAGGACCGAATCATTGCCTATCTGACAGAAGACGAGATCAACTCCACATGCCAGTACTGGTACTGCAGCCTAGCTCTTGTCTCTCAGCTCTGTCTCTTCATCCTCCTTTTCCTCCAGGGTATCTTGGTTATCTTCATCATTGTCTACCTGCAGAAATTTCGGAGAATGACAGCTGAAGCCCAGAGCACCACCCGAGATCTACACCAGCATGTAGATACCTGGGTACCTTCTTCAAGAAGCCCCTACAACAGTGATTAACATCACAAGACCGAAAACCCTACCCCCCCTTGGGTGATGCTATGCCAGGTCATGTGGTTTGTGATATCCAGAGGGGACAATTCAGTGCAGCATCTGATTGTGACCATAGTCCAAAGCAGGACTTGAACTGATCAGACACTTGCTGTATTTCCAAAGACCTGATTTTGTGTTTTTTAATGCTTTAAACTCTTTAGCATGATCTTGATTGCTTTGCTGAGCTGGAAGTCATTCTGCTTTGTTAGACTAGGGAAATCATAAACTGCAGCAACCAGAACTGACTCAAACTGTTCATAAGCTCATAGGTGCTACGGTGCTCAATCCCTTCTATGCTAGAGTATTTCAGCCATACCTTCCACAATGCTTCTGGTTGCATTGGGTCAGGTGGAGACAGAGGTGGATAGTGAACATTTAAGGTACTGAACTAGGACAGTGGAGAAATACAGTTTCCTTGGTGCTATGATAGATAGCCTTAGTAACTTCGGACAAGTCACTCAGTCTTCTCCTGCCTCAGTTTCCCATCAGTAAAAGGGGAAGGATGTTTCTTCTTGCCTGATGAATCTTTTCCAATGTTCTTTGGGGTGTGTGTGGGGGAGGGGGCAGGTGGGAGGGAATGTTTAGAAGCCTACCCGCTTTACTTTATCTTCATTTCTTTTAACCTACTTACAGTTTTAATACTGACTTCAGCATGTACTGAGTCAGACTGCGGCCCTGAACATTTATGAGAAATTAATCCTGAAGCCAAGAGTTATCGAGACCAGAGGCTCTTTCTGACTATTTCTGTGGTACATGGCACAAGAGATCTGGTCTTCTTTGGAGCCTCAAACTGCAAAACCCACTAATGTTCCTACTGCTGGTTATTATGTCCCTTAATTATTTTTGGAACAAAGCAAAATTGAAATAAAACAATGATGCATGATGATGTAAATGGCTTATTTTTCCATCCCACACTAGGTATCTTGCACTCTCTTGTGCTCCCTGGCAGTTTCTCACACTCCCTTGCACTTAAAAGTTGTGCCAAGCAAAACAAATACCGAAGGCAGGTGGAGATGTTACCAGAAGTGCACCATAGGGTTAACTTTTAACAGCTACTGCCTTCCCCAGTGGGCCAGTCTGAGTGTGGAGTGTCTTGTAGTTCCACTAAGTTGCTGCGCATTTTTTTATGATGTGGGCTGAAAAGGGATGGGTGTTTCTTGGTGCAAACACACTTGTAGGGCGGTGGCCCCTGTGCCCTCAGTCCCCAACCCCAGTTCAAGGGGGTCCCAGTTCTCTCCCGAGGCCCTCAGATCACATCAACACGGAGCTCATCCGCGAGAAGGACCCCTCGCCGGGCGACTGGACGGCCAGGGAGCGGCGGTGCCTCGCGCCCCCGCCAACGGTCGCCGAACGCCCCCTAACGGTCCTGATTGGCCCTGACCGCCCTCACCCCGCACCTGCCCACACCAGCAGGCACGAGGCTCCTGAGGGGAAGCTGTGAGGGAAGGAGCTGGGCTGGGTGCTCAGGGGGGCTGCCTGAGGAGAAAAGGAGGGTTCCTGGGGCCTCTCTGCATCAGGTCTCTTCCTATCATCTCAGGGATCTGTGCTAGTGCAAAAAGTGTGAACTTTTGCAGCGGAATAAGCTGCTTCTGCTGGGGTGGAGTCTGTGCAGACGGAGGCTGAGATGGGAAGGTGGGGTCCTGTGTGCAATGAGTCCCCCTCACCGTGCAGTAGGGTGGATGGTGTTGAAGGCTGAGAAGAACGTTCACCAGGCTGCATACACCTGAGCCAGCCTGATGTGAGGTAAGTGATAAACGACCCTGCCTTGCGGGATCTCTGTTCTCCTTTTTCTCTCTCTGCCCCATGTTCCTCCAACAGTAACCCACTGTGGCGTTAGCCTGACTGGATGTGGAAATGGGGTTCCAGGTCAGATTTGTTTTTTTCTTCTGGGGATTGGACCTTGTTGAGCTTTGTAGACAATGCACTTCTTGCTGGGGTCTGTGATATCCCCTGCAATGTCATCAGTGACCATGGCCGCCAAGGGAAGGCACAGCTCCACCGAGGATCCTTCTTTGTGGAGATGCCCAAACTGGTGGTCTAGGAGACCCTCTGACACTCTCAAATCTCTGATATTTAAGTATTGTTGTATTATATTTTTTCCCCCCCCGAGGAACAAACTTTCTGTAGGAATAGAATGCTTGCTTCCTGCTTGTTCTTCCCCAGTGTCCTTTTCCCAGAATCAAGATGCAGGTGTGTAAGGAAGTAGCACAACCCACTGTCTTCCTTTCACTCCTTCCTTCTTATTTTAGGTCAATTACACTGTTATTTTAGCTATTTATGCCTGTTGTTGAAGTCCTTTTCCCTTACTGATACACACAAGGGGTGTAAAAGGTCCTTTGCTTTCCTAATACTATTACAAAGTGTGCTAGTGTGGAAGAATTAATCCCTGATTTTGTCTGCAGATTTTTAGCTGAATTTACCTGGGTTAGAGGATGTTGCTAGTGCATGTGGGCAGGTACTGACAGTGCTACAGGCACAGGCTTAGTTTCTGGGACAGGCTGGACTGGGAGCAGGCATGATACCAGCTCTGTGACTGCTTAGCTGCCTGCCTGTCAGCACTGCTGTAGGTTGCTGGAAAACCTTCAGGACTCGGTGTGCCTGCAAAGACAGAACAACTGCTGACTTTGATTTCCCTTCCCTGGGGAGGCAGGAGGGGTCCTGACTCTGCATCATTAAGTCTTGGCACATGAAAGGTAAAAAGCCTTTTTGGCATCATTTGCACCTGTGAAGTATGTGACCAGCCATAGCAATGTGATAATGAATTGCACTGAGCGCAGAGTGATTTGTGTGCCATGGCAGCATGTCTAATCCATAAATCTAGAGCCTGGCTCAGAAAGCTGCACGTCACAGATGCTTTCTTGCTCTGCTGGCCTGTGGAGGTTCCACTGTACTGCCACTGAAGGGAGAACTGGCTTTCTTTCTGAAGGGAGCGACTGTCCAAGGCTGCACAGTGGCTTCAGAGGGGAAGCAGTGGTGAACTATGGCAAAGATAAATGCAAGCTGTTAAGATGCTTTGCAAATTACTTACTAGTATCAAGGCTGATCCAACACCTGGGCATGCAGGATTGGGCTGCCAGGCCTGCTGGATGGGCTGCTGTATTGCCAAAGGTTCAGGGTGCTTCCAAGCAGCTCCTTTCCCTGAAAGATATTGGGATAAAAAACCCCGGGAAACAAAACCATAAGTGTGTTTGCAGCCTCCATGATGCAGAGCTCCAAACCTGAGGTGTCTAAAAAGCAGGTCAGCACTTCCTCCTAAGTGAAGGACCAAATGGTTGGTAGATAACATTGGGGATGACACATAGGTTCTTCCTTCTTTCAAATGCTCTGTTTTTCAGGTGTCTGCATGGTGACTTTTGCATCCTTTGCAGAGTAAAGGAAGTCTTGAAAGCAAAGCAAGCTGATTTTGGAGCCTAGAGGATTTTAGCCCCAAATCCCACAGAGAACCAGTTTTTCAGTCCCTGTACCTTATGGTGATGATGGTTATGCTTTGCTTCAAGGTTACTGCCAGTGCTTGTTTACAGGTTGTCTGGGTTCATTAGATGCCTTGGAACCTAACCCTGTTGTTTTAAATAGACTTTCATAGTTTCTGCACCCTGTATGTGGGATGAAAATATCACATTTGTACACATAAGGAACAACTTGTTATCATCCACTGTAGGGCTTGGTCACTGAGACAGACCAATTCTGTGCAACAGCTGGAGATTAAGCAGTGCCTGGAGATTGTATGGAGGAAAATCCCGGAGAAGCATGGCATATCCCAGTCTCACATAGTCACAGCTGTATGTTGTGCATCTGCCCAAGTGAGAACATTCAGTAGATGCCTTGGTGGCAGTCTGATCTGGGATTTGTTGCATTGCTTATAAATTGAAAAAGACATTTTTCATAGTCATTAAGATGAGGCTACCTGGTCTTCTTCAAACCCTTCATTTCCCTTCAGGATTGAAGTATGCAGGATATCCCAGAGAGAATGTCAAGAAAAGCAGTGTTGATTCCACATCATGGGACATCTTGTCTGTCCTAGGGTACATAGGAGAAGAACTGTTTTAGAAATGTCTTTTTTTTTTTTTTTTTTTTGTATATTTGTGTATGAAAACTGAGGCTCCCTCAGGCTCATAAACCTGATTTTTAGAGGGCTTTAATGGAGACCACATGGTCCAATTTAGTAGGTTTCCGCAAATGATTAGTTATCTTGGATAAATGTCTTGAAGCAGCAGGTTGCAGTTTTAAGATTTGTTCTGAATATAGTATGTGTGTTTGTACTGTATGTCTAGATAAAGGTATATATTCCCTGGAAGGACAGGATAGAGCACTGCTGCAGGACATAAAAGATTTAAGTGGTTTTATTAAAAAAAAAAACCCAAATCATCCTCTTAAACTAACAAGTAATAATTTTCCTATTTCTTTACATGTCTCACGGTCTGATTCTGCTCTGAAATGTTTGGTATTATTGAGAACAGAATATGCTGGGAGGTATTTCTTTCTATTTCCACATAGGAGGATTAACCTGAGACTTATGAAACCAAAATGCCAGGAATGCCCTCTATGGATGCCTAATGGTTTAGGTTGTGTAGCACTGTCTGTAATAGCTGATGATCGCTTTGAACCTGCCCCGTCACAGCTGCTTGATGCTAAATCAATGTCATTAATTTTGCATGGAAACAGAGCTCTGAGCATTGAATGAGACCATCTCCAGAGCCGTTACCCATACTGATGTGTAATTTGGGTTTGCTCGGAAGAGGGCAGCAATTAGCTTTTGATCTCCTGTTCACTTATACTAGTAAAATCAACGTGAGATGCGGGCCTGGGAGAGGGTGAAGGCAAGTGTAATGTGTTTGCCCAGACGCTGACAATGATGCTCCAAACTTAGTGGCTCAAGCAACAGACATTGCTTTCTGAATCTGTAACTACTAGTTTAAACAGTCCTTTTCTGGTTGGCATTCCAAAACATCAGAGTGAAACCAAGAGGAGAGGAGAGTGAGCATCATGTTGCTATGGCCATGATGGAAATAGTGTTGGTTCTCTGTGGGGTGTTTAGTCTGATGATCTTTGGAGGGATGAAATCCACCCCTTGGCAGGTGGGGGGAAAAACTTTGCCCATCATCACATAGAGGTGAGAGCAGTGGGTTTCTACTGGCATGCCTGTTGGAGATAGGAAGGTGCCTGGAGGATGGGTGGGAGGTAGGTGCTCTGAGAATAGCCCACAGCTAGGTAGGATGGAGATGCAGAACAGCTCAAAGTTATTGGGGTTGGTTCTGTGCATCCATGGGACAGAAAAGGCAGAGGCTGAACAGGCAAACATGTGAACACCCAGGGAATTCAAATGCCCCTGCACTGAGAGGCGCTGTGGGGAGTTGAAGTCTGGATTGAAGTACTGTGAAACACAGACATCTCTTGTTACGAATCATAGCCCTTAGCTTCATTGTCTTTCATGAGACGATAAGGGCTATGCCTGTGTTTGGGAAGCTTTTTCCACCAGGGACTTTTACCTTCGGCATTCTCAAGCTTACCAAGAGATGATGTGGGCGCCCACACTTGCCCTACATCTCCATTACCTGATCTTTCAACACAGTGTTAGCAAGCTAATTTTTTTCCCAGGATGAGACTTTAATTCCTTCCCATTGATCATGGCCAAAGAAGAGAGCTCAAATGGAGATTTTATTCCAGAAACAATGGCCCCCTTATGTGCTGTGTCGTGATCTCTGTGAATGAACCTGCTGGTGAAATGAAGGCTTTTCCCCAGGCTGTTTTGTACCTTTCTCAGGTGAATCTTCATATTAGATGAGCTGCCTGGATTCCTGCAGGGAGAGAGAAGGGAGGTAAAGCATGAAATCTTTGTTCTGTGGGTACATGAGACAAAATGACAGTCAATGGGACTTGGGCTTCCTA